CATCTTCTCAGACCGTAATCTACACCTTGACAACTTAGCAAAAATTCTCCTCCCTTTCGATGCTGAAATTCACATCGCAACATTCAACATGCCTATACTGAGTTCTAAAAGCTTTCCTATAACTATCCTCATCCTTCACCTAAATCTGAAGGTAACTCAACCCCAATTCGATTATACTGTAGACATACTCACTTACTCGTTGATCCATTGAATCGTCAATCCCTTTGAAGTGGATATTTAATCTCAATAACTAACTCAATAAATTGTCGGTAATTCATACATAATTTCGTACTACCTTCTTTCTTCTTAACTAATAATACCGGAGCTCCCCAAGTGATACACATGGTCTCATAGATTTCCTTTCCAACAAATTTTCTAATTACTTTTCAATTCACCCAACTCTGAAGCTGACGTCTTGTATGGTGCCATAGAAACAATTCGGGTACGAATGGCAAGATCAAAAGTAAACTCTACCTCTTGTCCAACATCATCACATGACAAATAAATTACTTCCAGGCACTGGAACCATTTTTAAAACAAATTTCATCATGTTATCTTTCTAACTCTTCAAACGGAAATCGAATCAGACGTCCAGAACTCAAGTTATGAATTTGGAAATACATCTTAGAAAGCATCAAATACTATTTCTTTAGTGCGGAGATGCCTCTTCGAATACACCTCTAAGGTAAATTCGGAGATGTATGTCCGAAGTCATATTTCGCCTAAAAATTCGAAGATGCGTCTCTAGATTGTTTCCTGTATGATTTTTCCAGAATCAGTTTTCTGTTATTGTGGTATTTTCAATCAAAAATAATTTCAATTTGATTAAAAGTAACATTATTTATTTCAATGATAAATAAAGCTGAATATTATAGAACCACATAAAGCTTTAATAAAAACAAATATTATAGAAATTGAATATATTAGTACAAAAATTATTTCGAAGGTCGGTTAAAATTAAACAAAATACAATCAAAAATATACTTTATTATGTATGTCTAATCTTAACACTCTGGTTCCACCTCTGCCTACGGTAAGCCACGACATCGTGCCTCAGAAATAATGGATTGTGCTAGGACGACTGCTTCAGGTTCACCTCTCGCAAACACTCTAGACTCGATGCCCACAACTGCAAGTTGCATAACGGTCTGACAATGCTGGAACACATCAATGACATGGTCATCCATGGCCTTCTCATTCTCCAAGATCTCCTCATGAAAATTCCTAGGTGGACACCCAGAAGCGTCATGTGTCATGTAAGGGTGTGACACCTTGTAGAACCATGTCATGTAACTCTCCAAATAATACTACTCAGATGTGACTGCCAGACTATGATACTTCTCCGGTACCAGTCGACTCTCAAAATCCTCCAGAATGTCATCCAACTGTCTACGGACAATAGTGATGGGAGCAGCCTACAAGAGGGGACCTCAGAATAATCTGGATGTACCGAAACTTCCCCATTCACCGCTCAGGAAGATACATGCACATGGTGTTGGCCCCGCATGCCAACCATCCAGAGTATAAGGAAATAAGGTCGAATGAAACTGTGTTCCGGTGATCACCGCATGATCTCCATCTTATGTCATAATGCTGAGTCTGGTCGGTATACACAGAATAAAATAATATATGATCATTCCATCTGCTAGGGACTAGTTGGCAAGCATATGGCCAATCATGAGTGTATAACAGGTCACAATTAAACTCGTGGATGTGATGATAGTGAGCAAGTATCCATCCTTGAAAACGAATAAGAAAAAAAGTATTAGTAACAACTGTGAAAAAATATTAGTTTGTAATTTAATAGTAGAGTTTAGAAATTATCGTAAGTAGGATGCATGAGTCTGTCATCTGCTTCGTCGTCCATTTGCAACCTTCGTTCATGTTGGAGTATAGGTAAACCAAGGATGCTGCCCCCAATTCCACTCACCAATGGTCTCAAAGTCAAGAAAATATTTGAGGTAGGCGACATCCACGTAATTTTCACTTTTGTCCACAAACATGGACGTGCCAACCAAGAATAGGAACTATCACCCCAGGGCACACTCCCTGTGGTAGGTAACCCATAGATCATCAGTATCCGGGTGACCGACTATCTCCAAATTTTTGCCATACAAGTATGACAACCAAGCAAACTTGGCATGTGCACCCCTAGTGCTTCTACACTGCTCGAAGGCTTCCGTAGGGTCAACTCCTAAATAAACCCCCATCATCTGTTGTGCCTCAACCCTATTGATCTTAGAATGATCAAGCAACCTTCCTCTGGTGGAAATATGTATGAGGCATGCTACACCATGTAGCATAATAGTCATTTCACCAATGGACATATAGAAAGATGAGGTCTCACTATGTCACCTCTCAGCAAATGCAGCCTGTATGCCATGGATGATGTTATTGTATCATGTAGCACATTGACTGGCTAGCCCAGAGTTCTGGAGTACATTTTGGAACCAGGATTCCTCGGGCTAGTAAAGACCGTGAATCTTTCTTGCATGATTCACACTTTTGAAACAACCACGCTCCTATTGAAAATAAAATATAACTTGATCAGTTGAGTTGAATTTGGATACAAAATAAAAAAATATAGGAAGTTCCAAAATTTACCTCTCATTCCCATACATGTGAAACCATATGTTCTCCAAAGTATATGAGTAAAGATGTGTCTGTGGGCCCTCATGGAAACGGGTTTGCAAGAGGGGCATCCTTAGCAAGCCGCACCCGAGGTGAAACTAGAGCATCCTCATCATAGTGCGTACCACTCTGTGATCCCGATTCCCGTGATAGTCGACTACTCCTAGAGCCTGACACTTCCCTATCGTGAGGCTGAGGATGACAGCTCTAGCTTGCTCGTGCTGACGAGCCCTCTTGCGACGAGCAAAGGCAGTTAGGGTGAGTCGTCTAAGTCTCAACATTTCTTGGTTTTCAGTTATTCTGGAAAAAAAACATAACAAAAATAAGAGGAAATAATGAGTTCAGATATGCATATCCGAAAAGCTGAAACATAATAGTTTGGATATGCATATCCGAAAAAGCTTTGACTTCAACAATTGCAGAGTTGTTTTTGTAATTACCCTAACTCATCCAAACCCAACCAAACTCATCCAAATCGTATAAATGGAGTCAACAAACTTGTACATTAACCTATTTGAGCTATCTAATGCATTAAAACTAGTACATTTGAGCTAATACATTAATCAAAAATCAAAATAAGTTAAATGAGAAACTTAATCTTAAATGTGTTGGTGAGGGCGTAGAGTGTTTGATGTTGAATGCAGTAGGTAGAAGGAGTTGGAAATGGTAAGAAACAAAAGAATGCAACTTTAAAACTTGATCTTGAGGGTATACTGTAAATGGGTTGAGAGAGAGGTAGAGAGAAATTTTTGTTGTTCGGAAAAATGAAGAAGAAAGGAGAAGAGGGAAGGTATGATGGGACCTTTAAATAAGTCCATCTAGTTCAGAGATGCATGCATCACCGAACACGCCCTTCAATTGACTCCGGACTTTCATCTCTGAATTTTATTTTTAAAAAATGGAATTTGGTGCATCCAGAGATGCATCTCTGAAAATAAGAGATCTTTTCGAGAATTTTACGTAGTGCCTGGGAGAAGTAACAAGGGTGAGATAAAAAAATTACCTTAATGTGGAGGCTGATTTATAGACTAGAAAAGTGCAAGGAAAATAACCTTGCTTGCTTTGCCCTTGGGTCGGGCATGGTGATGCAGATGAAGATGATAAAATAGACTGAAATAGAGATTAGTTAAAATGTTTGTGATCATAAAAGTATTTATATTTTATTTTATGTATGATATTGTATTTTGATGTATATTATTATTACTATTATTATTATTATTATTATTATTATTATTATTATTATTATTATTATTATTTTGACAAATTTGATGTATATTATTAAGAGTGTTGTTCTGGACTGGACCATCGACTAGACGCGACCCAATCCACTCTTGTTCTAGAACGGTTTAAAAACATTGGCTTAATCATCCTAGGACCAATAAAAGACACGTTTCTCATCTGCCCGATAACTCTGGATCCATGGTCGTGCAGCCCCAAGGACAACCAGACCACACTTGCCCATGATCGCGACCATGCTCGTAGCAACGGTCTGTTCCGAGCACATCTTTCCATTGCAACGACTAGTTTTGGGTATCCCTCACAGGATAACGAGCATTAGCTGCCCATTCCTGTTTTCACGCAGTAATCCTGACAGTTACCTATTTTTGGAGGCTAATATCCAGACCCAAAAATAGAAATCAATGACCAAGCGCCGGAGATATTATATAAACCTTCACACTTGTGAAGGCCAGATATCAATATTCAACTCTCAAACCCTATATTCTTTCTTGTATCTCTTTGCACTCTTACTTACTTAAGCATCAAAGTGTCTTGCAGGTACACTCCCTCCTCCTTGATTCCAGCACTACAAACTCAAATGTCAGCCTATTACAGGTTCTGGTCACTGGTAAGATTAAATATCAATAACGACCCCGTAAAAATACCCAAAAATTAATTACAATCCAAACATCTTTCAAAAAAATCTATAAAAATTAAATAAAAATGATGTATAAATATAATATCATCGTAATTTAATCTTAATATAAAACTCTTTATAATCACATACATTCAATCAAATAATATAACAATGTCACTTTTTAAAATTAGTTTCTAATATTTCTATCAAAACTAATCTTTAATGATTTGAAAATATGTTAATTTAGAATGATATTTTTTGTGTAATGTGGAATATCTTAAATATTTACTAAACAAAAGTCAAAACATAACGACATCGCCGTCTTAGATAATGTTCCTTAGTTACTATTAGTAGGTGAGATACTTACAATGACATCAAATGTAACATCCTCTCACCTCTTGGAAAATCCGTCAATAACGAGTCCTATATAAAAACTATAGTTGTAGTGTTATAACTTCATACCATAGTTCTCACCCTTCCTTTCTTTTATTATGTACCAAGTATAAACAACATAATGAGAATCAAATTTTCATTCTGTTACTGTGGCACACATGAAAAAGTCAGTTCAAAACCATGCATTGTCAAAGATATGAAACAAACTAGCTTACTAAGAAAGAAGAAAAGCCATAACAAGAAAAGAGAGTTCAAATTAGTCACATTAGAGGAGTGGCTTCTTAATTCACCAATTATGAAAAGGGATAGTAACTTCAATGCTCAAAATTTGGTTAGAAAAAATGCTTATTTTTCTGATTCTGGACTATATAGTTTATCTTTGGAGCAACTCTTGGTTTTGGATGGTGTTAATGATGACTTTACAATTTTGTCCTCTGAGTATCATAGTTTCTCTTCAAAGAGACTTTTGGAAAGTGAAAAGGTTGATGGAGAAGAAATGAGGTTATTAAAGTCATTTAATAGAAGGCACCAAAGTAGCAAGGTAAAGAAAAGTGTTAGCTTTAGATTACCCGAAGTTTCTGATGTTATCATTTTGTATCCATCATAGGTGAGTTTTGGTACGTTAATTAGTTTCTTTCTTCTAAATTTTGTATACACTTATTTTAAGGTTCGAAACAATGCCGGTTCATACAAAAATGTGCGATTGATTTGATGAGGACAAAAAAGAAAAGATAAAGAGATGTTAGAAGGTGTAATTCTTATTCTGTCGAATAACATTAAGCGTTCGTCGAACTAGTGGTGTCAATAGGAATATGTCGAATAGCTTATTGTGTATAGGTTGTCAGTTGTATTCGACAGAGTTGAATATAACGGTTATGTTATTAGTAGAATTGGACATGAGCTTTGTATGGCTATATAGATGGCTTATTAGTTTGTAATTTTACTCAATCAATACAATCACAATTCAGTTAGAATCATAAAACTTCTAAATCTCTCTTTTCTCTTCTTCTTATTATTTTTATAAATCATCTTTCTTAAAAACCTCTTTGTTCCAACAAATTGGTATCACAGAGCCTGATTGTAATTCAGAGAGAATCTAATGGCAAACGGAACAACAATGTCAATGCACTTTCCAGTGAATCTACCGGTTTTAAAAGGTGAAAACGATCAACGGTGGGTTGCGCAGACGAAGGTTATTTTTCAGATTTCAAGATGTTGTTGAAATCTTGAATGATAGATTACCAGAACTGGAAGCAGATGCGACAGAGGCTCAGAAAACTGCACACAAAGATCAGAGGAAGAAATATGGTAAAACACTGTTCTTGATACACCAGTGTGTGGATTCTAATGTATTTGAGAAAATAATTGAAGAAGAAACATCGAAAGGTGCTTGAGAAAAGCTAAAGAGCTTGTACGACGGAGATGAGAAATTGAAGAAGGTGAAGTTGCAAACGCTAAGGAAGCAATACGAGATGATTCAAATGAAAGAAGATGAATCAATTTCTGCATATTTCTCAAGAATTGTGACATTAATAAACCAGATGAAGACATGTGGTGAATCGATTACGAATCTGCAGAAGATAGAGAAAGTGTTGAGATCTTTGACTGCAGTTTTGACTATATTGTAGTGACAATTGAAGAGGCCAAGACTCTATCTAAGATGAAGTTAGAAGATGCTTCTCCAGAGACTCCCGAGATGAGGTTGAAGCAGAGAAACTCAGAAAGAGAGAATGTGGTTGAACATGCATTGCAATCAAGATTCAACAAGAAAGCTGAAAAAGAGAAGTCGAAACAACGATTTTTTTTTGCTAGTGATGAGAAGTCAATCAAGAATGCTGATTCGAGCAAGAAAGGTGTGGGAAACAAGTATTCTGGGAAGAAAGTTGATACGAAAGAGGTGCAGTGTTGCAAGTGTCAAGGTTTTGGTCACTATGCTCGAGATTGTCGAAGAAAGAAAGCAGCAAAGGCGAAAGATAGTGATGAAGCTCAATATGCACGAGCTGGAGATAGTGATTCTGACGATGTTCTGTTGATGGTAAATACTCAATCGAACACTGAGAAAAACAACATGTGGTATTTTGATTCAAGATGCAGCAACCACATGATTGACAATAAAAACCGGTTTACCAAGTTAGATGAGTCAGTCGAAAAGGTAATAAAATTTGCAGATGGAAAGCACACCAAATCAGGTGGTAAAGAAAATATTTCGATTATCAGGAAGGACGGTTGAAAGGCTAGTATCATTGAAGTGTTGTATGTACATTCAATGATAAGTAACATGATAAATGTAGGTCAATTACTTACAAAAGGTTTCAATATGAAGTTGGAGAAGAATCAAATGAAGGTATAGGACTGATGGGAGGCTAATAAGGAAAGCACCATTGGCGAAAAATAAAACGTTCAAAGTTGCTTTATATGAAAGAACCAAAGCATGTATGTGAGGATTGTTGCAAAACAAAACAGGCTAGGAAAGCATTCAAACATGACTTGCCCATAAAATCAAAGCAAAAATTGAAGTAAAGTCGAATGGAGGTAGCAGATATGTGAGTTTCATGAGTTTAAGCTCGCAAGAAATTGATTGCTTAAGGTATAAGTTGGAAGAATGCAAAGATAAGAATGAATACTTGGAGCAATTTGGTTTTGATTCCAAGATGGGAGGGAAATTGATTCAAGCATTATCAGAATTCTATTTCACCATAATTTCGATTTCAAAGACTACATTGTCATCATTCTAAGCACGTTACATCATACACCATTTACAAAGGAGATTACATGAAAATAACAAAAAAAATAAACATTTCCTAATCTCTGTTTCTAGTCATGCTTTGCCAAGACGAAATCTCCAAGCCTTGCCACGACCAACCTCTGATTCCCTTTGCTATCATCTGCATCATATGCCCAAACCTTCACAATGCAAACTTCGATCAAAATTTGAACTGCAATAAGACAAAAAATCAGAAAAAAATACAAAATTAAAAAAGTCAGGAGCAATTTAGCACACAGTAACCCTAGCTTTGCACTTGTTCAATAAACCCATAACAAAAAATTAGAGAAATCTAGAAATCAGAGTCAAATACAGCAGAATGTTTTAAATCAGTGTAGAATTTTAAATCAGAAACTTGCAGCATCAGTGGAAAACGGTGAGTTTAATAAAGGAAAAAGCATAAACCGTGAGAAGAGAAAAATCAGGGATAACTAACAAAATCATATTTGATCTCCCCTTCTATTTAGCTAACCGATTCTCGGATCCAAAGGCCATGAATGTTCCTGCTCTAACAAACTTTTATGCGGCTATAACTGAAAACTGATTCATTCAAAAAAGGGGGGATTCAGATTCATTCATGATTATTTATCAGAAAAATCACAATCAGGAAAAGAGCTTCAACAAAATAAACCTCACCAGAAAAATTGTGAAGATCTCTTTACAATATTCTCTCTGCTTCATCATTGATTCTTCACAATCTGGGGGAGAATTACAAAATCACAGAAAAACTCTCTCTGCTCGTTCGCGCTACATCTCTGCATTTGTAGAGAGAATGCTCCAAGGCATTTCAATTCTTTCATCTCTGCAACAAATCTGCATTCTCAACATAGCATCATCATACTCCACATTCAATCATCTATTAGGCTTTTGTAACAACCTTCAACCTTCGCATCATCATCACATCTTCATCAAGATTCTTCATCGCATAACACTGCAATTGCATGAATTCTGCGTCATATCATCAACAAGCAACAATTCTGTTTCATCGAATCTTTATCGATAAAGAGCAGAACACAGAATCGGAGGAAGAGCAGAATTAAACGAAACATAAATACGAATGTTTGCATACCTGACCCTCTCATCTGGATTTCTGGTTACTGTCATCGCATTCAAAACACCATCGAAGCAACTCCGACAGGTAGGTTGTTCTATCGTTGTTTTCACCCTTTCTTCACTTTTGCAGAACTCTCTAAGCTCGCGGCTTACTACATCGGTCGGAGAGAAGAACAAAGAAGATCAAGAGATTAAGCGGACGAAGGTGATGATGCAGTATAGCATGGCGGGAACAAGGCCGCTGATGTAGAGGAGCGAAATGACGGTTTGCGAGTCGGATTCGAAGAGGTGAGACGATGGGAAGGTCGTGCGGCGGCGCTTGGACTCGAGACAGAGGCAAACGAAAAGGTTGTGAAGGCGGAGAAATGGTGAGAAAGGAAATAGACGTCGCCATTGAATCTAGAAGAGAGAGAAAATAATGGTAGGATTGTGGTGATGGGTCTAGCGTTCATGTCTTAGTTTTTTTTTTTTTAACTTTCATTTTGTTATTCAATTTGTGCGATTAATTATTGGTGTTTTTTTTCATAATTTTCTTGTCGAAGATTTTATGGATGATTATATGTTCATTCCTGATTTGTTGAGATTTTTTTTTACGATTTTTCTATTAGTTTAGGATTTATTGGAATTGATGTGTGAATATGCTTAAAATTAGGATTTTAGCATGTTCTTGTTGATCCTTCCTAATTAATTCAATTTCTTTAGCATGATGGTCGCTTAAATGGAAGGTTCTAATCTTTAATTGCTCAATTAATTGTTTACTTTTGTTTGTGATCATGAAAAGCCTCATAAACTTGATAAAAATAGGCTTTATGTGTCATCGAATGTTCACGAGATTTGCAAGCTTTGTGATAAAACGTTGGTGCAGATTTTGGTGATATGAAATGCTTGAGGATTAGCTTATGTATAGTTTTCTTATCGCTTGTGTGGTTTTGAAGAGGCAACAGACCTTCTCCGTTAGGTACCACTTGGATCTCTTTTACCTCTATCGCTCTCAGTGCATGTTCTTAATAGGACTTTATTGCTTTTCTTTATTTGTTGTTTATCAATGTGTCACTTAATTAGAATTGAGACAACTACTTCGCTCTCATTTCATGTTTCATTAGGATTTTTCCCATGCCCTTAAGTCTATCTTTGTATGCTAACACTAGGTAGATTTTCCCCTTTGTTATCCTAACTTTAGGACCACCATTGTATGATAACATTAGGAATAGAATTTCCCTTAGATTTTTTCATTCCCCTTTTGCATCCTTAAAATTAAAACTTTTCCTTAATAAAAAACTTCAAGACATTTAATAAATAAAGATGCGGATTGTATGCAGTTGAGTCATATGGGGAATAGTGAGGTGGTACATTCCTAACCTTGCTTTTATCCCATTCCGAACTTTATTATGATTCAATTTACAAATTATTTTGTAAATAAGCAGAGAAAGAGTTGATGTCCCTCCATTGAGATTCATTGGCTACTATCCCAACAAAAATACTAAATCAATTCAAACCTTTGCCCTTGCATAATCGACTCCCGTATTTTTATTTTGCATCCATGCATTTCTTTAGCTTGTAAGTTTAGATAGACATACCATTTAATTAGAACAACAAGAGTGGATCCCGTGGAGTACCACATACGTGAGGGGTGATAATATCTCCCCCTTGCATAATCGACTCTCGTACCCTTCTCTTGGTAGCAATACCTTGTTTTCTCCCAGGTTTACTGGTCGGATTACACTGAGGTATCTAATGATTCATACTGCAAGTGCACAGTCTTATCGTGTAGTTTTAAAAGATATCGAACCACAGAGACTGATGAATCGAACTACCGTCTTCTATTGTTACTTTACAAATCTAAAGCTAATGAACGTTTGATTGGGTTTTAGGGAAACTAAATACTAAATTAAGTTTAATTTTAATTATCAGTAAGCGGAACTACCAGTATGTAATGGTCGGACCTCGGGAACTAGCAACCGGTTGGGTGTCTTTGCATTTTCAAAACAACTTTCAGTAAAATCTATTTAGTTTAAAAGCCCTCGTCTCACAATGTCGTTTTATTGATCTAGGCTATGCAGTTAAGTCCTAACGTACGCTTTCGCCATCCCGCAGGAGTTAAAAACACTTTTTGAAAACGAAATAGAATCTTAATTAACTTTAAAGTGCTTCCGCTATATTTTAAGCCAATGCCTAATTACTACTGTCCAGTTGAAAGATCTCAAACTTCCGCTTTGTTGACCCTAACCTCTATCCGTTCTTTACTTTCGTAACAAAAAAATTTTATCGATTAAAAATAGTAACTTAGACCAGAAAAAGGTTTTGTAGTAAAAATTACCCAATTGAGTCACTCGATCCCTTGGTTATGTGACCTTACATACCGGTATACGAATTCTAGCCTATTAATTAAAAGCAATAACAATTTATAAAAATAAACCTGAGGATAATAATTTTGGATACGGGTACAATTACTTCTAACTCTTGACTAGAAGCACTCCTCCACAAGCTGGTAGGCTTTGCTTCGATCGGGAATAGAGACAATCGTATAGAAAACAAATGCTAGAGGAAATAGAAAATTGCAGGAAAAAAATGCTCAAAGAAAAAATGCTTAAGGAAAATGAATTCTCAAAATATAAAAGGTCACCCCCTCTTTGTTATGTCCAGGGTTCTATTTATAGTACTTTGTGCGATACGTAGGTTTGAGAAAATATAGGAACACTTCGAGTTCGTTTGAGAAAAAATAGGACCACGGAGTTGGTTACATCCTTCATGTGTTGACTGAGTGGAGCTTAAAAATAGGATGGCCGTTGGATTGGTGTTTGAACTTTCCTCTTCCGTTGGGTTTGCAGACTACATGGTCAAAGAAGGAAAAGGTGGTCCTGTGAAGTTCGTCAAGTCCAAGTGACGTTGGTCACTTGGTCCATTATGCCCGTGATGACCGGCAGCGTGCCTTGACGATCGTTAAGGTCCTTATGCTAGTGGGCCACGTTCTCACGCCTTGTGATGGACTTATACTTTCTTCTTCTTTTATTCTTTAGCCCTTTTGCTATTTTTGCACCTTTTTCTTCATTTCTTCCAAAGTCTTTAACTGAACATTTATCTGCTAAATAAATGAATACCCGCGTAATACCTATATAAAATAATACAATTAAAATAAAATAAGGGAAATAATTTATGTAAATCAAGCTAAAAATATCATATATTTGTGTGTTATCAAACTCCCCCATACTTGAACTTTGCTTGTCCTCAAGCAAATGCTCAGTATGATGTTTTTCTAAACATGGTCAGATGCACATACATGACTCGAATCAACTCATATACGGCTGCGTTGTGTTTTTGTCAGAAAATTGAAAGCTTGATTCATGCTCCATTACTACGGTAATGACACTAGATAATCCCATTTTACGTAAACTAGTTACAGATGCTATCATAGCCTACCTCGAGTATTTGTCTCATTTCGTCCCTTTCATTCTAGCGCAATCACATTAAGCCCTTTATCCTTGCACGCACATAGCAGAACAGCTGGTTAGTGGTTATGATCCCTTTTTTAGCACTTAGGTTTCTGGCACAGTAACGTGGCAACCTTTTTCTATCCAATTGCAAGATGCGGGGGATCAGACCGTAATCTTCCCTACCAAGTTCAGTATCAGACGATCCTGAACCATCTAACAAAGGATTTTGGATGTTACTTTGTAAGGCTTACATCCTTTGGATTAAACGATCGGGTAAGGATCGCCCAATTTAATTGGTGTATTACCTATCTTCTTAAAGCTTGTAACATTTTTATGAAATAATAAATTAGATCATCCACTTATATTCATCGACTTCCTGCGTAGTTTGTGTTTAAGACGGTGCTGACTGCTAATATAAACTACTCAGGATTACTACAAAAACTAAAACTCAGGGTTATGGAATAACAGGTACTTGAACTAGTCTATCATACTCTGGGGTTGTAGAATGTCTAGACGGTAGTAATTTAGCTTAATCTTGCCACAATTCCTAACTATTAAAGATCTTGAAGCCTATGTACTTGTCAAGTGAGTCAAATTATGCATAAAACTCTAAAAAAAATTTTGATAGGGCTCAAAAAGATAGGGGAATCAGAAAAACAGCACAAATGCTTCAATAGATAACTTGATAACAAAAATTGTATTGAATTAGAAATGACAGAAGGGAAATTACAAAGAAAATAAAAATTACTAGGAAAGGGAAATACTTCCTCCCATAGAAAAGGAACTTAATTTAGTATTTAGTTTCCCTACAACCCAATCAAACGTTCATTAGCTTTAGATTTGCAAAGTAACAATAGAATACGGTAGTTCGATTCATCAGTCTCTGTGGTTTGATATCTTTTAAAACTACACGATAAGACTGTGCACTTGCAGTCTGAATCATTAGATACCTCAGTGTAATCCGACCAAGTTTTTGGCGCCGTTGCCGGGGAGTGATTTAAGTCGATATTGCTACTCTTTTGTTACGCAGTAGAGACTAGAGCAAAACCTCTCTATTTCTTTTCTATTTCTTTTTCTTATTGTATGCCAAACACTCGTTCGTAAGGAGAGCCGTTATACATACAAATCAACGATATCGAGCGGTATCTCAAACTTAGATGCTGCATTCAAGAGTATCATCTCTTGCATAATCCTACACCTCGTGAATTACTCGAATCTCCTGTTCCTCAACCAACCGAAGAAATGGCTGCACAACCTGCTCCATGTCCGCTCAAATCCTATGCTATTCCTTCGCAAGATGAACCGCATAATAGCATTGTTGCTCCTCCAATTGAGGCTAACAACTTTGAACTGAAACCTTCTTTGTTGTCTGTTGTACAACAGAACCAGTTTTCTGGTGGGTCAATGGAAGACCCCAATATTCATTTATCAATATTTCTGCAGTATGCAGATACGATTAAGAACAATGAAGTCAGTCAAGAGGCAATAAGACTTCGTCTTTTCCCTTTTTCTCTAAGAGATAGAGCCCGAGCTTGGCTCCAATGTCTACCCGCAAACTCTGTTGCCACATGGGATGAGCTGAAGAAAGTTTTTCTTGCAAGGTATTTCTCGCCAAGTAAAACAGTTATGCTAAGATCTCAAATAAGTGATTTTTGACAAAAGGACAATGAGTCCCTTTTCGATGCTTGTGAATGATACAAGGATCTGATGAGACTATGCCCATATCATGGCTTGGAAGAATGGTTAATTATCCATACCTTCTATAATGGTCTCCTTTACAATACAAGATTAACGATAGACGTTGCCGCAGGAGACACACTTATGGATAAATCCTACACCGCTGCTTATGCTCTCATAGAAAGTATGGCTCAAAACCACTATCAGTGGGGAAGTGAAAGAGGACAGGTAGACAAAGCTACCGCAGAGAAAACACCGAAGAAAGGAGGCATGTACGAGATAAGCG